TGGCTGGTGGGTTTGAACCGCCAGCCTTCTGGTTAGCAGTCAAGTGCTTTAGCCACTATGCTACCAGAGCTCCCTACAGGCAAAAAAATCCTATGGAACAGTTATACTCCTTAACACATGGGGTCACCATGAGTCAGTACCCGACAGCAATGGGTTTGGTTTTTGGTATGAAAATGTCTGGACACTTAAAATTTACTAATCAGATTAATACATTGTGTCATTTCAGATTTACATTGTCTGGTAGAGGCACTTGGGCTAAAACTTCAGAAGGCAGTGACTGAGATGGACAACTATAAAGAAATGCTCATGTAAGATGATGAACATTACACAAGCATTAAGATTACAATGCCCTATGGGTGTGCCATGGGATGAAGAATTTAGAAACATCCTGTGGATTCTCTGTGACTCTTTTGGCAGTGATTCAGTTGTGTGGGTACAGTCTACTGCAGCTTTTCTTGGCTGTTTTTTTTTTTGAAGGGTTTGTCAATATTTTTAAATTCATGAAGTGTTTCTTTCCTCCAATTAGAAATTTTCTTATCTGTATGTTAAAGCCTTTTCCAATTATTCAAATGTACTAAATTAATATGAAATCTTCTTTACCCATTGTTTCTTTATTATCTGTCCATGACAAACCACATGCACATTACCAATTTTAGGTTCAAAAAGAGAGGTAAGCAACTTTGAAATGCTAGGGTACTTATGCTTTATATAAGAGATAAAGAAAATTTTAGGAAAAAATGATAACAAAATACCCTTGTAAAACATCAATAGCACTATTTCTTTTGAAATGAATTTTGTTCCAGAAATTTCAAGTTGCTTTATAGTATATATATATAGTACCTCTATAATTATAAATGAAACTAGAATTTATATAGTCTTTGACAAGTAAATTCTTTTTTTACTCTGTGGTATATGTTCTGGTAACTCTGGTTTTCAGTTCCTATATTTTAGAAGAGTGAGTCCCACAAGAATTATAAATATTTAGAATGCTTAGCAACAAAGAATTTGTATTGACCATGAATTACTCCTATGAAAAATCTATTTAATAAAATCCTTAACAATATAATAGTGAGCAAACTCCAAAAATGCCCTATGAAATTACTGTATACTTAGATTATTTGTAACAGAGTAATTTTTATTTTATTTTTTGAATTTTTATTGTTATTGGGGTGAAAATTTACAGAGCAAATTAATTTTCCATACAGCAGTTCATACACGTTTTGTTTCATGACAATGATTGCAGTTCCCCACAATGTAACAGCTCTCTCTGACTTCCTCCCTGTAGTTACTTCTTCCCTGTCTCCTTCTCTCCCATGCATTCCTGCCCCCAAACTATCTCCCTGTCCAAACACTGTCCTTCTGTTCACCCAAGATTGACCACTTCAAGGAGTGTATCTACCTGATGTAAATGTTCACCCCATCTGCCTGTCTGTTGTTTGGCTGGAAGCCACAGGAGTGAGTTCGGTTCCAGACCTGAAGGGGCTGTAGTCTCAAGCATCTCACCAGGCTCTATCAGACCAGCAAACCTGGCAGAGTAATTTTTTTTTAAAACAAGAAAAACCAAATATTTATGATTTATAACTATGTAGTTAATAATACAGTAAGTATAATAGTCTGGTTGTAGCCGAGGTTGAAGAAATGAGTCTGTAGGAGACCCAGTGGGCCCAGGAAGTAACTTCAGGGAGGTGAAAAATATCAGGACATGAGAAATAAGAAAAAGAGGGAAAAGAGAAACAAGACGGTGATTGCCTAAGATGAGCACTCCATTATATTATACTGACTTATTTTCTATTCTTTTGTCAATATCAGAAAAATTCATTGTTCCCCTTCCTCTAGCAACTTCAGGGAGGACTTTGGCTGTATGGATGTCTCATGTGAAAAAAAAAGCAGCCTGTCCAGGCCAAAGCTAATATGTAACTTTGACTTCTTAGCACTCAAGAGGTGAAAAGAGCGCAGTGTGGGGAATTGCAGGTTGGGCTGGAACCCAACTAAGCTAAGCAGGAATTCGGGCACATTCAGCAACTCAGTGTATAGGGCGCAATCCTGAAAAGTTAGGAAAACAGAAAAACACAGAAATAAGCATTCTGAGGAAAAGGAACAAAGCTTATTGGTTGTGATATGAATCAATTTTAAAAAATGTTTTATTTCTATTTTTTAAGACTGTATTTCTTAGAAAAGTTTTAGTTTTACAGAAGAATTGTGTAGAAAGCACAGAGTTCCAAATACTTGCTCTCCTTCCCTACCTCCCCACCTGGTTTCTCCTCTTAACCTCTTACATTAGTGTGGTACCTTCATTACGGTTGATGAACCAATGCTGAAATATTATTTTTAACTGAAGTCCATGGTTTAGATTAGAGCTCACTCTGTGTTATACAGCCTATGGGTTTTGACAAATGCATAATCTCATGGGTCCACCATTATAGGATCATGCAGAATAGTTTCACAGGCTAAAAATCCCCTGTATTCTACCTATTTATCTACCACTCCCTCCTTCTGATCCCAGAAACCACTTATCTTTTTGTTGTCTCTCTGCTTTGACCTTTTCCTGAATGCCATATACGTAATCGGAATCATACAGTTTGTGTACAACTTTTTAGACTGACCTTTTTCACTTAGCAGTATGCATTTACAGTTACTCTGTGTCTTTTTGTGGCTTCATAACTCATTTCTTTTTATTGTTAAATGATACTCCATTATATGGATATATTAATGTAGTATGAATACTACATTATATAGCAGTCATGTACTATTGACAATTACAAGTAAAGTTGCTATAAACATTTTATATGACTAAGTTTTCAATCCATTTGGAAATCCCTAGAAGTGAGATTGCAATCAGATCATATAGTAACTTTTTAAGAAATTTAACTTTGTAAGAAACTGCCAGACTGTCTTCCAAAATGTACTGTTTAGTGCCTAAGGCATTTGACTGCTAACCAGAAGGCTAGTGGTTCAAACCCACCAGCCACTCCTCGGAAGGAAGGCTGGGCAATCTACTTCTTTTGTGATACTGCCTTAGAAACCCAAAGAGAGACCAGGTTTGCTGGTCCGATAGAACCTGGTGGAACCAGTGAGACTATGGCCCCTATCTGCCCTTCAGCTTTGGAAATGAACCCACACCTGTGACTTCCAGCCAAACAATAGACAGACCTATGAGTTGAACATTTACCTAAGTTAGATACAGTCCTTCAAAAGAACAATCATGGAAGAAAGAAGGGCTGCTTATGCACAGAGAGACAGCTCAGGGGGCAGGAGTGCATGGAGTGATGGACACAGAGAAGAGGTAACTATCGGGAGGAAGTGGGAGGAGAACTGTTGCATTGTGGTAAATTGTGGTCAATGTCATGACACAAAGTGTATGTGAACTGCTGTATGGAAAGTGAATTTGCTCTGTAAATCTTCACCCAAATCACAAAAAAAAAAAAAACCATGGAGGCATCACTGTGAGTCGAATTGACTCAATGGCAGTGAGTTTTTTTTTTTTTTTTTTTTTTACAAGCAATGAATGAGATTTCTTGTTGCTCCACATCTTGATAGCACTTGGTGTTGTCAGTATTTTTGGATTTTACCTATTCTAAATGGTGTAGTGGTATCTCATTGTTATTTTAATGTATAGTTCCCCAACCACTTATATTGAGCATCTTTTCATATGCTTATTTGCCATCTGTATATCTTTTTGGTGTTGTCTCTGTTCAAATCTTTGGCCCATTTTAATAATCAGGTTCTTTGTTTTCTTATTGTTGAGCTTTAGCAGTTTTGTAGTTTGGATATAGGTCCTTTCTCAGGTATATGTTTTGCATATATTTTTGTCCCTGTCTGTGCCTTGTCTTTTCATTCTGTTAATAGTGCCCTTTACAGAGCACAAGTTACTCATTTTAATAAAGTTCAATTTATACATCTTTTGTTTCATGGATTGTATATTTGATATTGTATATAAAAAGTTGCTTATAGTGCCTAAGGCACTTGAGTGGTAACCAGAAGCCTGGCAGTTCAAACCCACCAGCCACTCCTCGGAAGGAAGGTTGGGCAATCTACTTCTATAGTGATCCCACCTTGGAAACCCAAGGAGGGGTCGCTGTGATTCGGGTCAGACTTGATGGCACATAACAACAACAATGTTATCTTCTAGAGAGCCCTGGTGGTGCAGTGGTTAAAGAGCTGGGCTGGTAACTAAAAGGTTGACAGTTTGAATTCACCAGCCACTCTACAGGATAAAGAATGCAGCAGTCTGCTTCCATAAAGATTGTTGTTGTTGTTATGTGCCGTCAAGTCAGACCCGACTCACAGTGACCCCTCCTTGGGTTTCCGAGACAGTATCACTACGGAAGTAGATTGCACCATCTTCCTTCCAAGGAGTGGCTGGTGGGTTTGAACTGCCAGCCTTCTGGTTAGCAGTCAAGTGCTTTAGCCACTATGCTACCAGAGCTCTCTCCATAAAGATTACAGCCTTGGAAACCCTATGGCACAGTTCTATTCCATTCTATTGGGTCGCTATGAGTCAGAATTCAACTGTACAGCAATGAGTACGTTATCTTCTACAAGTTTTGCAATTTCACATTTCACATTTAGGTCTATGATCCATTTCATGTTAATTTTTGTGAAAGGTGTATGATCTGAGTTTAAATTATTTCTTTATTTTTTGTTTTTAGTGTATGGATGTTGTTCATAATATGTTGGAAAATTATGTTTTCTCCATTCAGTTATCTTTACTCTTTTGTCAAAGATCACTTGACTGTATTTATGTGGGTTATTTCTGGATATTCCATTATATTATACTGATCTATTTTTAATTTTTTTTGTCAATACCACACTATCTTGATCACTGTAACTTTATCTTAAGTCTTGAAGTCAGTAGTGTCAGTCTGTTCTTTAGTACTATGTTGGCTGTTCTGAGTCTTTTGCCTTTCTTTTTTTCAAAATTAGTTTGCTCTGTCCATAAAATAACTTGCTGGGATTTTGATTGGGTTTGCATTGAATCTGTAGATCAATTTGGGAAGAGTGGACATCTTAATAATATTGAATCTTTTTACCCATGAGCATGAAATATCTCTCCATTTATTAAGATCTTCTTTGATTTCTTTCAGCAGAGTTTTCTACTTTTCCTCATTTTGGTATTGTTCTGGTTACCTAGTGCTGCTCTGACAGGGATATACCACAAATGAGATGGCTTTAACAAATAGGAGTTTATTCTTACAATTTGGAGGCTTTAAGTCCAAGTTCAAAGTGCCAGGCTCTAAGGGCTGGGTGAAAGCCGCTCAACCTTAGGCTTCAGCTTTGCCTTCTACTCCCGGCCCACTGGAGCTAGGGG